CAGAATGAGGTGATGGTTCTTTTCAGGAGTATAGACCCAATGATTTGTTGGTTCGGCAATTGGTTATGAATTTCTACACATCTCCTCCGTCGTGGCAGTATTGTAAGAGTTAGAGCAAGACCTATGTAGGTCATGAGGTGCAATAGGAGCATCAGATTCATGAAATTTTGACTTATTCGATCAGGGAATGCTATTGTGGTCCTGTGAGTGAAGTGGTGCAAGGTATGAATTCAGCTAAGGTATGCAGTCATGTCTTGGTGCTGCGTGTAGTTATTAATACGGTGGGCGTATGTTGGAACAGGCCTGGCAGAGAATTTCGGATGATGGAATTGGGCTCTAAGGCTTATTTGCTTAAGTGAAAAAGGATATCTTCAGATTGACCCAGCTAGGATACCCAGCTGAGGACGAACGTATGTTTAAGTGGGAGAGGATGTAACGACCCGACCGATCGCTTTGAGCTTTAGCGCGCCGTTTAGCAGTTTGAGGCCATGAGCATCTTTAATTCAGGCATTATGACCTGTACGCATGGTCGGAATTTAATTTCGGGAAGTTCAGAGTTGACTTGGAGAGGAAATTCTCATTTCGGAAGCTTTAAGTTAAAAGAATTGACTAGGATTGGATTTCAGAGTAAACGACCTCGGAATCGGGATCTGAAGGTTCCAGTAGGTTCGTATGATGATTTGGAACTTGGGCGTAAGCCCAGATCGGGTTTTGGGTGACCCGGGAGCGTTTTGGCGCCTATTGTGGAAGTTAGCATTTCGGAAGAAATTTCATAAGTTTGGGTTGAAGTGCATTTCAGTGTTATCGGTGTCTGTTTGGGATTCCGAGTCTGGGAGTAGCTCCGTAGTGATTCTGGAGTTGGGTGCGCGATCGGAACTGAATTTGGATGTCCGTGGAGCATTTTGGAGCCATTTGGCCAAAGATAGAATTTTGAAGGTTTTGAGAAGTTTGACCGGAGGTGGACTTTTTGATATCGGGGTCGGAATCCGATTCCGAAAGTTAGAGTAGGTCCGTAATATCGATATGACTTGTGTCAAAATTTGAAGTCAATCGGACGTGATTTGATAGGTTTAAACATTGAAAGTAGAAGTTGGAAATTCTAAAGTTCATAAAGCTTGGATTGGGGGTCGATTCGTTGTTTTAGCGTTGTTTGATAGGATTTGAGGCCTCGAGCAAGTCCGTAATGTGTTTTGGGACCGGTTAGTATGATTGGTTGGGGTCCCGGGGGCCTCGGGTGGATTCCGGGTGGTTAACGGATTGAAAATGGAATTTTGGAAAAGGCTGAAGTTGCTGGTTGCTGGTATAACCGCACCTGCAAGACTTGGGCCGCAGGTGCGGAGCCGCAGAAGCGGCCAGAAGAGCCGCAAATGCGGTTTTGGACTAGAAGTGAAGAGACCACCGCAGATGCGGTCATGTAGCCGCAGAAGCGGGACCGCACCTGCGGTGGTCGAGGCGCAGAAGCGGAAAAGGGGGCCTGGTGAGAAACTGCGGGAGCGATAGAAAAGCCGCACCTGCGGAACCGCAGAGGCGGTCAAGGGACCGCAGGTGCGGAAGTGCTGGAGGCAGTGAGGTTCTTTCAATTCGAGGGTTGGGTTCATTCCAACCCCATTTCTTCCATTGTAGCCGATTTTTGGAGTAACTTTGAGGTGCCATCTTCACCACCAAGCATGAGGTAAGTAATTTATGCTAGTTTTGAGTTAAATACATGATTATATACGGATTTGGACATGGAAATTGGTAGAAACTTGGGGTTTGAGGGAAAACCTAGAAATTTAGTGTCCTTGGATTTTTTACCACGATTTTGGTATTGAATTGAGAATTAATTATATATTTGAGTTCATGAGGTTATGGGTAAAGTTTATCTTCAAAAAATTTCGGAATCCGGGCACGTGGGCCCGAGGGCGTTTTTGTCAACTTTCGATCGGGGTTAGGAATTGTTATAAATTGGATTGTAATGAGTAATTGAGCATATATTAATGGATTTACATAATTATTGGCTACCTTTGGAGCATTTAACATCGAGTCGAGTCTCCGGAAGGGCGTGGAATGCCGGTTATGGATCTTCGGAGCGAGGTGAGTCTCCTTTCTAACCTTGTAAGAGGGAACTGTCCCCATAGGTGAGTTAATTGGTTATGTGCTCCTATTTGCAGGGGCTACGTACGCATGAGGTGACGAGAGTCCGTGCGTAGCTACTATTATGCTTTAGTCCGGGTAATTTAGGGCCCAAAAGCATGCCTTCTTGTAATACTTGCAACCTTGTTGACAAACTTAAAATGCTTAAAACATATCGAACGTGTAAATCAATTTCTAAAAAGGGCTAGATATCATTTCTTGACTTTTAATAGAGGAACTTTCACTTTCCTGAATATTTGCTCCTCGATGAATTATTGATTTGATTGTTTAAATGTGTTTATCTATTGTGGAACGGGCCCAACGCCTCGGTAGCTTAAATAGATGCATCTATGGTTCACGCCATTCGACCCTCTGGAAGTGTACAGTTTAAATATTGTTGGATCGGGCCGTACGTCCTTGGCATGATTTGCGCATGCTTGTATTGCCTGCCTTGGAATTTATTGAAGTGATGTTGTTCCTTCCCGGCTTGAGAATAAATGTATAAATGACGAAAAAGAATTTGGAAATTTCCTATAAAAGAAAGAATTGTTTATTGGCTTCATTCTATTGAATTACAATAATGTTTATAAAAATCCACGATTTAATATATATTATTGATATAACATTATTGGACCAATAGTAAGTGTCGAAGTCGACCTCTCGTCTCTACTACTTCGAGATTAGGCGGGATACTTACTGAGTACACGTTGTTTTCGTACTCATACTACACTCTTTGTGCATCTTTGTTGCACAGGTTTATGTGTGACTAGTGGCTTAGTGGCATGGCGGCATAGTTGATACGGAGACTTAGGTGAGCTGCACTTATCGAGACGACCCGCAGCCAGCAGAGTCTCCTTCAGAGTATTGTACTGTATTTTCATTTCTGTCCACCTTGTATACCGGACAGTTACTGTATTTTATTTCATTCCCTAGTAAATGCGCATGCACTTGTGACACCGGGTTCTGGGATGTCTATGGGTTTATTCAGAAATTTAAAAATTGTTAAAAGTTTCATTATTTATTCAGTGGAATTTATTATGTATTATTTAAACGTATAAAAGAAGTGATTTCAGAAATATTTAAAACGAGAAGTTACTAGTTATTTGTTGTTGGCTTGCCTGACAATGGTGTCCGGCGCCATCACGACCCTTAGTGGATTTTGGATCATGACAACCTTCTAACTTGTTCCTTGCTACTTGAATATTATGCCCACTACAGCTAAATTCTTGGTTGTTCAGCTGCTTTAGATCTCCTTTTAGCATTTTGAGCTTATTCCATACCATTAGCATTGCAGTTCCCTTTTGCCTCTTTTTCCAGCAGTGTTTAACTGTGTCATCAAAGTCTTTGTGATTTGCCACACATTTGAGAAACTTGAAAGGCCGCCTTCCTTCTTGGCTAGTGTCATCATAAAGGACAATGATCTGAAAAATTAGGGTTAATAATAATCCCCTCCAGGGCAGGCCATTTTTGAATCCACTCTGCATTTACAGTATTCTATCAATTCTTCTTTGAACATGGTTATTTGTCCAAGTGAACTTTCTCCCCACTGTTCTACGTTCATCTAATCCAGCATCCAGTATGAAATTTTTGAAATCTCTCACCTCTATCTCTTGTACTGCATTCCCCTGCACTCTATCCTCACTAGATAGAATAGTATTAAAATCACCCATTATTAAGCTTGGGCCACTGACTCCAGCCATAGTTCTCCTCAGATCCTCCCATAGTATCTTCATGTCTTGTATAGTATGCTTTCCATAAACAGCCTCAAAGTTAGACTTTATTATGTTCTGGTTCATGGTCACCTGTCCTACAATATATTGCTCATGTATATACCTCAAACTCCACCTTTGTTTGATCCAATACTACCCATATCCTTCCTCCTGGAGCTGCATCATAATTTGCTACCCATTGCCAGTTATTAAACACCTTCTTGATTACTGAATTAGCAGTAGGTTCTTTGACTCTATTCTCTCGAATAAACATTAGTACCACATTATTCCCTCTACTAATTTTTTGGGTTCTTTTTGCTTATATACTTATTCAGACCTCTAACATTTCATGATATGATATTCATAATTATATAGTAGGTATTTTATATTCACCTCCTCTACCACATTCACTATGCTTCCCTCTTTTCTCTTGAACTTCAGAAAGTTGCACAATCTTCTATGTTGTATCAACTAGAGCTTTGAAAGCATTGCCAATGTTTACTTTATTGTCACTTATAGCTCCTATGTTCTTTTTTGATGCAAACTTTCCTCTAGCCAGTCGCCATTGTTCTTTATTTTTCTACTTGACAGGTACCTCATCACCTTCTGATTCCATTTGATCCAGAAATCTACCACGAGAATCAATTTTATCCACCTTAGGATCAAGCACCCTCATTATTTTCCATTCTTGTTTCTGTTTCTGCTCCAGAACTCTTTGTTGTCCACCCTCCTGGTTCTGTTTCTTTTGATCTCTACATGAATGGCCTATTTGACAGCATGTCTAGCAGTATTGAGGCTTCCAGTCATATTGTATCATTTGCTCAATCACCTTCCCCTTGGGTTCATGTAATTTAATTGATCCTGGTAATGGCCTAGTAATATCTATTTCAATTAACACCCTAGTATATGAGACTCTATCAACCATTGTGGTACATGCATCAACAAATATGGGCTTTCCCAGACCACTCCCAATTTTGCTTAGGGCTTGGTTACTCCGATAGAGAGGTAGCTTGGGGAATTTGACCCTTAGAGGAATGGTTTTAAGCACTTCCTCATTGAAATCAAATCCTTCTGTCCATGGCTAAGTATGATTGGTCTGCAATTCATAGTATACGGAGCCATTCATTAGCACTTCATCCCTCTCTTCACGGCTATTCATTAAAATTACGAAATACCCATCATTATGGAAGAGTAACTAACCTCCCTCCCCCTTCCTTGGTATTAATTTCTCCTTTTTCTGTTTTAGAGCCCTTCTGATCATAGCCTTATATATTTAACCTTTTTCTCTCTATCTTTCCTTTCTCTCTTTCTTGTATCTTTCCTTTCATTCTAACCCTCCTAATCCACAGAGCTTACAAAGAATGAGATAATGCAGAAAATATGTATGATCGGTTCAAGACTCTCAAATCTCTGCACTTTAAAACCAACATGCTTTATTCTTTTTTCCTGATCCTGTGTGAGAACAACCTTGTGGTCCAGGAATGAGTGGCAAATGACAAGTTTGATAAGTTAACTCCTAATTTTGTAGATCATCGTCAGATCTTTCAATATTATAAGGATATATACTTTAGTTATTTGGTTTTCCTCTTTTGTTCACTTTTCATATTCCTTTCTTGAGCAATATCTTTTAAGAATCTCATCTCTTTTTTCTTTCTCCAAACTTTTCAACTATCACTATCTCTTTCCTTTTTTTGTTCCTAGTAGGAGCCATGGATTCTGGGAATAGTGGCAGTGTACAATCTTCAAGTGGCGGTGATGAAGAGTATGATTCACATGGGGGCTCAATCTCAACTTTCTTGAATTCTTCAGCCCATTTTGGTTCAATCTCTTCAAATCCACTCCCACAATTTCTTTCTCACCAACCCACTCTCTTTGATCCTCATGACTCACAAAATTTCAACTCCAATTTCCAAGATTCAGCAAATTCTCTTTACAACAATGATCTTATCTGGCCTAAATCTTTGGGATCCGATAACAATTTTAACAACTTTGGAAACTTAAATTCCTCATCATCAAGTGCTACTAATCATGCTATTCTGGGTACTAATACTCAAGGTCCATCCTATGATTCACTACCAATAAAATCAACCATTGATCATCAGCCTAATGTGGGGAAAAATCCTAAGAAACGAAGCAGGGCATCGAGGCGGGCGCCAACAACTGTTCTAACAACTGACACTACAAATTTTCGACAAATGGTTCAAGAATTCACAGGGATCCCAACAACTCCGTTTACTGGTTCAGCCTACATTCGCCGCCTTGATCTTTTCTCAACTGCTACCTCAGCCATAAGATCAGGCCATTTGGATAATTTGGGACATCTTTTTACTTTATGGCCGTCCACACAAAAGGTTCAAGATTCTCCAATATTTATGCCACCATCTGGTGCAATAAATAATAGCATGGTTTCTATAACAAATGCTTCCACTTCTGATAGTGGAATTTCAAAACAAGCACAGAATAAGTTGTTCGACATGCAGAATGATGAGATTCAGTCATTTTCTACATCAGAATTCCATTCTGAGAAGGGTTTTGAAAATTATGTGTGCACAGCAGGTGAAGGAACAGTAGGTTCATGGACTTGCCCTTCTGGCTCACTTGTTAGGCGACTTGGCTCACCCTAATAATATTTTTTTTTTTAAACTTAGCTTAGTATTGGCATGTTGACAATGTATGTGGCAAAATACATTGATGAATTTGTTCATCTAGGTCATGAGTGTAATTTCATTAATTAGTAAGTATGATTTTATTTTGTTTAATTATATGTAGCTTATTATATACACGTGGATATGACATAAATTGTACTAATACTTCTTTATGATATGATTAAAAATGGGAAGAATGGTTAAAAATCAAAGTTGGTTAACACCGCGGATTTTGAACACATTTTGTCAGTGGGACTAAATGTGCTTCACTTTAGTATACTTAAGGGACTAAGCTCCCGTTTGGCCATAGATTTTGGCAACTTTTTTTTAAATCTTTTTTGAAAACATTGTTTGTTCATAGATTAACGATCTATTTTTGAAAAATTTCTGAAATTATTTTTCAAGTTCCCAAAATCTAGTTTAGGGTAGTTTTCGGGTGAAACTTGTTCTCCCACTCACAAAACTTCAAATTTTTTTCAAATAAAATGCTGCATGTCCAAACATAATTTCAACTTCCAAAAATTATTGTTCAAAACTACTTCAAAAATTATTTTTTCAAGTTTCAATTAAATCTATGTCCAAACGCTAGCTAAATGTGCTCAGAGTTATATTTGAGGAACCAAAATAGACCTACCCTCAAAGATAAGGGACAATATTGGCCAAAACTGGCAGCTCCTCAATCAACAATGCACCTCAGTCTAATAGTACAAATTTAGCGTCTAATTAAGGATAAAAACTAAGTTCTTCCTGCTAATTTCGGCATCCCTGTTAACGTCTGGGATTGCATTGCTTCTTTTGAAAGATCTTTTGGTTCCTTTTCCGGCCATATGTGGCAATGAATATTTATTATTTACACATGCATCTATAGTGTTGCGAACCGAGGTGTCAGATTTCAATTCATTGTCACAGTGGTAAATGAGGAAAGTTCCCATAAGATTAAAAAGGAAAGAAAGGAACCCAAAAAAAGAAAAAAGAAGAAAAATAAAAAACACTGTTTAATACATGAGCTGATTTTACATGCGTCGTGATCGTGAGTCTTGCTAATTGTTACTCCATCCGTTCCAGATTGTGTGAATCTATTTTCTTTTTGATTCGTTCCAAAAAGAATGACCTCTTTTTAAATTTGAAAATAATTTAACTTAAATTTACAATTCACCCTTCATGAGAAGCTTTTATAACTACACAAATACGCTGGGCTCCTTTTTCCTCGTTTAGGACCACGAATTTCAAAAACCTTTATTTTTTCTTAAACTTCATGCCCAGTCAAATATGTTCACATAAATTGGCATCAAGGGAGTATATTTTCTCGCATTACATCACATCGAAATGATATGTCGAATTAACCCTCTAATTCCGTTTTCTATAGAATAGATTTGGCTACTATTTTTCAAAAAAAATTTGAAAACATTGTTTGTTTAGGTAACTTGATCAGTTTTTGAAAAAATATTTGAAGAAAAAATTTCAAGTTCCAAAAATTGGTTTGGGGCAGTTTATGGATGAATTTTTTTCTTCCACTCACAAAACTTCAACTTCTATTCAAGTAAAATGCATGTCCAAACACAACTTCAACTTTCAAAAACTATTTTTCAACACAATTTCAAAAATTCTTTTTTTCAATTTTCAACCAAATTTATATCCAAACGCTAGCTTAATAATCAGTGTGCTCCCACCAAAACATAATAGAGTAGGATTTACTTTAGCCCTTTGATCTTGAATTTTAAAGAAAACCACATCAACATTGAAAAATCCAAAAAGTGAAAAACTAAGCGGGCTTTTGGACATAAGATTTGTGAAAATCCGGATAAAAAAATTCTTTCAAGTTAAAAATGGTATTTGAAAATTGAAGTTGTGTTTGGACATGAATACAAATTAGAGTTATTTTTGAAATTTTGTGAGTGATTTGGAGTGAAAATTGTGAGAAAAAGCTTTTTGGAGTTTTTTGAATTCCGAAAAATTCTGAATTTGCAATTTTCATGGTCAAACATTGATTCTGAAAACAGAGGAAGAAAAAAAAATCGAAAAAAGTGAATGTTTTATGGCCAAACAGGCCCTAAATAAAAAGACCACCCTTTCTTCAACATAGAATTTTGCAAAAGGTTAGAAAGAAAAGCAAGTAAAAAAGAGCAGCGAATGGGCCAAGGGGCATGGTACTAGATCAAAGTAGATACTGGACAAATTGAGAGTTCAAAATTGAGTCTTCGTTTGGCCATGAGTTTTGTCAAAATAAATTTGGGATTTATTTTCAAAATTCATGTTTGGCCATAAATTTTGCCCATATTTTGGCCAAATCCCAAATCTCAAATCTCAAATCTCAAAATCAGCTATTGAGCTGATTTTGGGCCAAAATCCCAAAACTTGGGAATTATATACATGTTTTTCCAAAATAAAGTTGGAAAATATGTTTTGAAAACGTATGTCCAAACACATTTTCATCTTTGTTTGCTCAAAAGTTGTTACAAAACTTACGAGTATAAAACAATATAAATAAATCACGGGATAATCATAGCAAATCGTAATAATCCGTTGAACCCAATGAAAGAAACGAAAATAAGTACTCAGGAATAAGGGTAGAAGCATTAGAAACCTTTATTGATAATATTTGTTTGGTCTGCCTCTCCATGGAGAGGTTCAGAACCTTACAATGGTGTTTTCTTTTCCCATAAGAGGGGTATATTTTCTCGATTCTCTCTCCTCTCACTAGTGGTGAAGAAGCAGCCCCCTTTCTAGGGCTTCCACTCTTAGTATTTATAGATGTGAGCTTCGTGAGCTGGCAATAAATGGCCGTGGCCACGCTGAGGTTCCGCCCCCGTGGGGGAATGAATGGGCCGTGCCCTCGTAGATTCCATCGGACAAGAGTCGAATCCTCTTATAAATAAGTGGCCGTACCACTTATTAATTATGAATTAGCTCAAGAGGAGATTAACTCCATTAATTACCGTGAGGTCAGATTCTGACCCATACAGTTAGTCCCTCCGCTTATTGAGGTCGTGTTTCGGCCGAGCTCGATGAGCGGATTTCATCGATTGTGATTTAAAAAAACTCGAATAAGGGGGTCGACTTATTGACGGCGGCGGCCTTAGTCGTTTACACGTTGGAGATGGCCGTAGCCTTTCATATATTGGAGGTGGTCGTAGCCTTTCATATAATGGCGATGGCCGTAGCCTTTCATATATTGGGGGTGGCCGAGGAAAATGAATATGCGCCGGGTACGTATTTGGTCACGTCCAGAATTTTGAAGGCGTACGGCGCATTCTTTCAGCGTTTGCAGGCCGTTGCGATTATTCTGACGGCGGGACGTTGGCGGATGGCTGAGAAGCCGCTTCGCGGAGCTTGTCATAATGACGCTTGCTTCGGCATAATCGAACCGTTTTACGGTTGTGCAGTTAATGATGGCTATTGGGTTTCGCGAAAGCCATTTATGTTGCCTATAAAGGTGGGTTGAGGCATTCATTTCTCATATCTTCATTGTTCATCTGAGAGAGATTCTGAGGAAACTTTTTCATTTCGCTAATTCATCTTCTCCTTTCTTTCCGTTGATTGTGATAGCATTTGTCTTTAATAGATCAACAATGACAGGCAGCTCTTCCCACGGTGCTCTTCCGGTAGATTTTCCGGTAGTCGGAGGGCCACCTCCGGCGATGGGAGGTGCAGAACAGATGGAGTCCGGCGAAATTCCGCCGGTTGACGAGGTGGTTCCTCGGCCCGGAGGTCTGGTGATTGATTTCACCGTCGACGGTGGAGAGGAACCGGTGGATGAAGCCCCGTTAATGGGGGAGATAGGGATGGCCCGATTACGGGAACAGGGGGTCGTTCCTACCCATACAGACATTGTTCTCGCTAGAAGCGAGGAGATGGTCCACACCGATCGTCGGGGATACTGCGTTTTTTACGCCTATCCTTTCAGGTTGGGGTTCAAGATCCCGCTCCCAATGCTGGTGGTGGATTTCTGCCGTTATTATGGGGTATGCCCGGGTCAGCTCACTCCTTCCCTCTACAAATTGTTGGCAATGTTCATCAAGTACGCGGAATTGGCCCGTAGGGAGGTCACGCTGCAGCATGTGCTGAGTCTCTACGCTCCCCAGAGAGTCCGCGGCACCATGATTCAGGCGTGCCCTCGTGGGTCGAGGGGCCTGGTCATGAAGTTGGATGACGAGGTCGACCCTCGCCCTTTCGAGCACTTCTTTTATATCAGGACCAAGCACCTGGTGGCGGATGCTACTGGGTTCCCAGAGGCTTGGAACCATGCACGTAAGTTCTTTAGTGGTTGAATTCCTTTTTCTTTCCCTCTAGGGCGCTAAGGCAGATAAGCCGAGCAACTTGCACCAGGCCCGCACGGTAAGGCCAGCTTGAGGCCCTGACGCGGCGTGCCCCTCAACCTAATCACAAGACAACAAGGTTGACGAATAGGACGTCGAAAACAAAGCGAGAACCTTAGAGAAGTAAAGTCAATTTTTTACGCTGCCAGAATGGGCCTACGACCAATGCCTCTCCAGAAAACGCCCATTGTGCGTTACCCCCGCGCTATTGAGGGAGTACATGCCTCGACCTGATCACACACGGTATCCACAGGACAATGGGGCTGGCGACCGACCTGTCACTACACGAAGATAACAGACACATAGTTTAACCGCCCATTCGATCACTAAATCATCAAAGC